CACGTGAAATCGAATCCCGGGTCAGAGGGACGTGCTGTGAGTTTAATTTTTGAGGGGATTCCAGGCAATAAAAGTGTCATCGTAAATTTAAGGTATGTGGGTAAGATATGTAATACTTCATACAGAGAAACTCTCGAGAGTGCTATGTGGGTTTCTAGTGTACAAACAGAAAGTTTGATGTACCAGTGCTAAGTAATCATGAAGGTATACGATTAGGACTGTCAGGATATGAGCAACTTGTCCAACCTCCAGACAAAACACAGACGGACGGAACTATATGAATTTACCTACTCATTCTTTGTACAAAATGTAAAAAGTAGACGTATAATGGAAAAGATCGTTTCCGTCTGTCCGATCTCATATTTCTTCTCTGAAACCACATGTTAGATCGTGATTAAATGTGGTATCGGAAGTCTGCTTCACTGGAATTTGTTATACTGATTTTATTTTGGTTTTGAAACATTTTTCAGTAAGGCATGGAAAAGAATATAACGAATAAATAATTTGGCTTTTTGTAGTGTTGTGTCTCTACTGTTTTATTTCTTTGTACATGTCGCAGACGAGTGAAACAGAACCCCGCGTGGAAATTCTGAGCATTTAGACGCGTATCATTTTGTCAGTATTAAGTACGAGGTGCGATCGGAAAGTTTCAAGACTGTGTCAATAGAGGGCGAACCGGATGTAGTACGAGCTTCTGCCGCTATGGGGTACGGCCTACATTCATAGTGAATCAGTGTGCCAGCCGGCATCATCGAATTAGCATTTGTTTCTTAGTTACGGGCGTTTTGGTAGTGCATTACACCGACCCTCCTGCGATTTCGGAATGGCGTGTGCATCAAATTTTGCCAAAGACTCGCCAAAACCGCTACGGAAACCTATGAAATGCTAAAGCAAACATTTGGGGAGTCCGCAAACTTTTGTGTGGCATTCACGTTTTAAAAAGGGCCGGCCGAACCTCTGTCGATGATGACGAGCGTTCTGGACGACCATCTTCGAGCACAACGCCCGAAAAAGTTACGAAGATCGACGTCGTACCATCAACGACTAATGCGACATTGTTGGGATAGGCTATGGGACCTGTCAGCTGATTCTAAAGGAAGAACTCCACATGCGACGCATCAAGACAACGCGCCAGCGCACACCGCCCTCAAAGTTCGGCAGTTTTTGGCCTCAAACACCATGGCCGTCATCCCGCACCCTCCTTATTCGCCGTGTGACTTCTTCCTCTTCCCAAAGATGAAAATTCAGCTAAAGGGAAGGAGATTTGAGACGATAGAAGAGATTCAGGCAGAATCGCAGATGGTGCTTGACAGGCTGACAAAGAAAGATTTCCAGGGATGCTTCCAGGCTTGGCAGCGGCGCTGGGATCGTTGTGTTCACTCCCAGGGGAACTACTTCGAGGGTGATGGATGAATGTAATACCTGAGATAAGTGTACAGGTTTTTATAGGCGCAGTCTAGAAACTTTCCGATCGCACCTCGTAACCCTTCAGTTGTGACAGTGAGAAAATTAAGACAAGAATACAGATCACATGGCTTAGTGCTTGTAGGAAATATGTCGAACGGATACGTTTAAGTAACACCAATAACGTTTACGTTTATGATTTAAATACGACTAAGTATTTTCTTAAAACAGAAGTCTTCCATATTTAAAGTCATATCAACAAAACACAAGAGTAATTCCATGGTTATTGAAATATTCAGACCCTGAACAGATAGATGCTTCGTATATGTACCGGAACAATAAAAATAATAATATAATTAAATTAATTCGTGTTGTCCTAAGTTTTTAGCATTAGAAGAGTAGCCAAATACAAAAAAGAACTGAAAATAATGCAAGATTTAATAAAATACAAACTAGATAGTAAAACACAATAAGAACCAGGAGATAATACATTAAGTCACTGAAGAGTGAAAAATATTCGTAAGAAAGAAACAGTTTTTGTTAAACACGGCAGTGTCTTGCTGCAAATATTATGAACAGAAACAAACATAGCTTTAGGAAATACTTTAAAGTGATGGTGTATGTTTAAAGCAGAATAGTCTATAATAATTCTCGTAGGTACACGTGTACACTAAAATGATATAGAATGACATGGTAGGTAATATTTTAAACATGTGCAACAGGGTATGTATTTTTATGGGTACATTATGTACTAGCGAGTATGGTTTCGTAATCACAGCCACGCGATCTCTTGAAAATATCATATAGCACTACGCTGCAAATTTAATTTAATTCAATTCATATATTGAAGTATCTACCAACAGCGAGGAGCCAATGACAGGCAAATTCTGATAATATATACATTTACAAAAAACAAACAAACTAAACTAAATATATAAATAAATACATATAATAGATCAATCAAACATTTACCTTATTATAATAATAAAACATTAGGCATTGAAACAACAGAAAACTGATCGATTCTAAAGGGTTATGATGATATGGATTGTTGGGGTTTTGAACTTTGTTCATCGTCTGATATTATAAAACACACAACGATTTGGATTAGCTTATTTTAAAGGACCACGCGGAGTACGTGCCCCGTCATTACACCTGAAAACGTGGACAGATCTAATCCTAGAAACATTGTGTAATTTTGTATAAGACGATGGACAAACTCCAGAAACTCAATAAAAAAAATTGGTTCACGCACACACACACTTAAACCAGTAAGAGGGATAGAGGAATAAAAGCAGATAGATAGGTTATGACAAATAGGTCTGACATAGTAATAAAAATAAGACATTTGCTTACTGACAGATGCATCAACCCCATCGGACAGAAATGTAATACATAAGAAATCCAAAAAGAAGATTATATACAAAAATTTAGGTATATAAATTCAGCAGCTGTGGAACATGAAATGTTTTTATCATACTAGTAATCAATAGAGCTACAGAAATTTTAAATATAGGGCTAAGAATATATCAGGAAACAATACATTCTCTATAAATAACAGTCACGCTAGTAACTCAATTCAATTCAATTCAATTCAATTCATTTATTAGAGTGCTTGGCAACAGCCAAAAGAGGCCAATAACACAGAGGAGGCCAAGTCTGAATCGGGCTGATTGCATGGTGAACGAGCCGCCACTGATTGTTGGTTTCGCGTGGATTGTTGCATGTTGATAGCGTATCTGGTTTCTTTTTCACTCTCGTTTCTTTCCACAACGACCGGAACTTTTACTTTCACAGCCAGTCGGCCGGCTGTTCGCATTGGATCCTCTTTGCAGATCTTAAAAGTCTAGGCATACTTATTTAGAATAGAGATTTCAATGCATGGGTCGCGATCTGTTATATTCATAGAAGTGCAAGTGTGAAGTGGATATCATAAGAAACGAACTATGGAAAGTGCTAGAGGCAACGATCCACATCGCAGCACTGTACAGGAAGTCGTGACTTTATAAAAAGTGCACTGGGAGGAAATAGCCAAATTTGGAGAGATTTTTAATCAAGATCTGGATAAAAATGTTGTGTTGTCAAGTACCCCTTTGTGGACAGTACGGAGTTATGGGTGTTCGAAATTAAACAGAAATTTTTAATATAATGGAGCGTCAATTATGGCATTATTGTTATTTCTGCAATGAACTTTAAAAGTCGTAATTTATTGAATTATAAATACACTAGATTTTTATAGTACCTAGTGTACTATCTGCATATATTTAACAATTTAAAGCACCAAGATTATATAAATATTCAGTTCCAACCTCAGAATAAACTCAGCGCGTCCCCGTTTCAAAGATCAACTAGTTAATGCTGTTTCAGGAAATAATTACTGACTATTCCAAGAATACGCTACGGCATTCTGTTTTATCCGACGTGACGTCATTTGATGAAGTATTTTCTTTGTAATTAATTGTCAATATTTCCTCTTATTTTTCATTAGTCCCGGTTTATCTGATATTTTCGATTATCCGACCGTCCTTCGGTCCCGTTTGGGTCGGATAATCTGGACTACTGTAAATGCATAGTAATACCTTTCAAATAGAGTAAAACTATTATACAGTGTTTTAACACACTGTGTAGCAGCACAATTCATTTTACAGAATCATGTTTAATCAGTATTTCACTTCTCTTTTTTTCAGTCTTGAACAGGATACAATCAGTTTGAATCATTGCGCTAGTTGGTCGTGCAAATAAAAGGAACTTCATGATATATTCGTAAAGAGTTGGCAGGTTTGTCGTGATCAAGGCAAGTGTCAGTAATGATTAGACGCTTAACAGATAAAAAGGCTCTCCATTGTGTGTTCTTGCATGTAGTGACAACATAAATATTTCTTTGGTTCAAAAACTGCCAGTGTATTAAAACGTATTCAAAAAGTCAGTAGTAATTACTTCCAAGGACCTTTTGCCAGATATGAATTGATAAGTCTTCGGAAAACTAAAGGACTGAAAACCAAAGCTTTTGTGATCAGTATTTACCAATTTGTAAATGAAATTAACATAAATCCAGGTCTCTAAACAGCATAAGGCTTATACGGATTTCAAGCCTCATAGACTTTGCACTAGATGGGGATGTTTAATTGATTAGACTAGTAAGAACCCTGGTTCCCGTTGTATGTGAGCCTGGATACACACCAGAGGACGAGACGGTGGAAAATTCGTGCTTCTGATGTACTTTTATCACGGAAACCGAACTAAAGACTGTAAGACAACAGACCTAACAACTCGAACAAAGAGATTATTACTCGTTCGTATTCGATAGATGTTGGGTTCTAATCTAGGCCCAGAGACCAGCTATCTCGACTTAACTTTTCGTAGTTTTACTCAGCCAATGCAGAATTCTTTTGGGTGAGTGCTTTGAAATAGGTGACGTTTATTAATACGCTACTATTCGATGGCACATGATCTAAGCGATTGAAAAAACGTCGTCAAATAAGTCTAAAGCCAGCCAACTGCCAGGGCTAAAGCTAGTGGGCGTCTTGAAAGATCCCCTAGAAATTAATATCTGTATTCACAACCTTTGGACCAAGTTGATTTCGTCTGCCACTGACCGTGCTAGAAGAGCTGAGAATCGTCCCCAGGTGTAGGAGCAGCAGAAAGACTTGTATCATCATTCCGCACACTGTTGCAGCCGCCATGTCTGCTTCGGTGACACAGGTGTGGTGTGGTGGCGAGATGTTGGCCGTGGTACTGCTTGCTGGTGGGGAGATGTGCTGACGATGGCGGCACAAGATGTCTCTGCAAGCAAAACACAAAATGTGCATTGTAAGAAGTTCAGTACCAACATCCTCGTTGACTTCAGGTGGTTTAGCGTCCACTGTCATGTCAGAGAACTTTCGTCAAGTATGCGTTGTTTAAAGCGTATATACACAAATACATTTATTAATATAATAATTCGTACGCAGTCTCTGTTTGTTTGCGAAGAGATATAAGCAGAATACAGAAATCTTCAGACTCACTGCTGTGAAAACCTCACGTCTTACAGATGCAAGCAGTTATACCAAATACGCGAAATAAGTTATTCAATGGACGTCTTTTTAGTGTCATACAATATTTTCTGTTCCTTTAAGGGTGTTTGTTATATGTATCCTCCAATTCGTACTCGTATAGCAAAATTACAGCAAACGAGAATGTATGAGACAACTGATGACTGGCCACGCCTTATGCTGCCCGTTTGTGTAGGTTAAGCTAACTTTGTAAGCTGATGCTGAATACATTTCGTTGCTTATAACTTAATTACGCTACCATCGTCCTTCTGTTACGTAAACCGCCATATCTCTACTGACTTGAGACATCACCACCATCAAAGATAAAATTGAAAAATAACATTTATACAAAATATGTCCTTTATTACGTATTACGACTGTATAAATTTGAACTTTTTAAACAGGTATGTAATTGCGTCATTTCAATCTATTCACACTACTAACGGAGGGATTTCCCCGGTTTACCACCTGGAAGAGAATTACGGAACCGTTAAGTCCGTTAGCTTACGCAGAATTAGCATACAGGAACAGATTCAAATTGGCAGTTTATCCCACGAATTACGTATCAAGGTTGTCTATTGTAATATCTGTCATGCTGGCCAATCATATTTGTCTATCAAGCAGGCGGACAGGGTACAAGAAACAGGTTCCGTGCGTAGCCGTGTCCTGGACCGCATTGCTCAGCCTCTGTTTTGACCAATCTCCTTCCGCAAAAGTCGGAAATTAGATACGAAGTTTATGAAGAGTGTGTTTAATATTTCAGGCATTAATTAAGTATGCTAATTATATATCTGCTTATTTTGTTCCTTGTATTAGGGCCAGTTTATTTCTTTTTCAAGAGATAAGTGTCTAGACTGTACTGAAACGAGGCCCAGAGCTGTTACTTCTCTTACTGCATCGTCTATCTTTCGAGTTGGAAGGCGGAGGATCTATTCTAGATCAAGTAGTTTATTTAATCACGTTTCTTGAAATGCAGTCCTTAAACAGAGTTGAAATGTAGAATGATTCTGAATGATAAGTTGTAAATTATGCTGAAATAAACCTGTTTTGAAATTCTGTCTCAGTATTTAACTTGGAAAAATTAAAGAAGCCCACATAAGACCTCGATTTGAATAGTCTGTCTCCAAATTGATGTCGAGTCTGGGACTTCTTGAATACGAAGCTATAATACTATCCTCGATAATAGGAATCGATTTAAGGTTTCTGTTCGAGAATATACAGCCCACGAACTAATTCCTTATCCACAGTTCGACATTATATAACTTATCTCGTTGAAAAATCGTTGTTAAATAAACCAGTATCTGATTATCATACCATGTATTTCCAAGTTTTATTGAAAAATGGAAAGTTTTGTATGATTAAATTATTGGTAATTTATAGATTCGTTTCGATTAATTGTTTAGTTTTCAACTCGGCGTGGAAATAATGTGGTTATTTATTTACTTGCGTACTTCCCTGTAAGGAACAATTTATTCTGCATTTTTATTCATTCTCGTTGCATCAAACTGAAGCCCTTACCTTAAAAGGTACCCCGCGCCAGGTGGTACTGTGCTAGGACTCATAATATTTATATGCTTTCTGTATTTTCGAAATAAAATGGCATTTAGCCTTTAGTGCCATGTAACACCATTGGTATTCAGTCTGCCTTGCCGCTGTCTTTATAAATCTGTGGTAGGAGGCTATTAGGAATTTTTTTATGTTTTCCTATACCCTTCTGTAATGTTCGTGATAATTTTGCACTAAATCACTTTTCGCGGGTTCCAAAGTTGATGGTTGACTGGACGTAATTTATTATGCTTCATGTCCCGAAGATTAACCTTGAGATACAAAACGACATGACCTCTACGGGGCGTGGCGAAACAAAAGAAAGATACAGTCACGGGCCCCATTATGATGAAGTTACTCTACAATTTGATTAGTATTTTCTCTTTAGAATTTAATTATAAGGAGATCTTTGAAGGTCGCAAGTAGCAGAACGTGGCTGAAGGACACAAGGTTCATTACCTAGCAGCACTGGCCTCGAGTGTACGGAATATTCACACTTCGGACATCCTTTTTAAGGCGTGATTTCTTTTTACCTGGAGAAGGATATTTATCGGTATCGTATTTCACGTCATTCTATAGATGTAACACGTCATTTTAGTGTTTGTATGAATAAATGTGCAACTATACATATGTATGAAGAAGTGTCCTGTTGGTTTTCTGGGATTCTTGTCAGAAGACCGTGTCCTTTGATACAGGTTCAACAAATGTTGCGTCCTTGAGCCGGTGAGCAAAGGCTCAAATTATGTTGTGCGCAATTTATTACAGAAATAAATCACGGTTCCTTCGACCACAGAGGCACACTGGAAGCTAGTAGCTTCCCCATAGTGGCATACCAAAATCATCGTTGTTACAGCCACTCATCATCGACTTGGTGTTGAGGAATGGTCGATTAGAGAGAGGTCGATTTGTTGCCTTATTCCATTTTTGCTTAACATTTATTTATTCTCGTGAGATTTTAAATTCTCACACCGAAGTGGGGAATCCTACCATCCCCCAACGTACAGGATAAATAATTGTGTATGAAACCAATTTTTGTTGTTTTTATGTGGTATTAATGTCGAACAGACGCCACGTCGATGTTGTTCTGGGTTGTGACGCCGTGTTAGAACCCAGAAGACCGTCATCGACATTTCCATCGCCGTGAGAAACTCAAATCTCAGCACATTCCATTACTGTTTCGTTACTCTTTTTATCCTATCAGTATGACTGATATTTTCTGACAATGTGGAAGTTTTATATATTTCTTTCTTTCTTATCTGTTCTTAATTTACTATTCTTTGTTTCTTTCTGCCTCTTCGTTCTTTTCTTGTTTCCTTCTGTAACTTATTGTTGATTTCTCTCCATAACACACACACTTTCTTGTCGGATTGATTAACAGAGAATTTAAAGGCTACTCAACTACGTTGATTGTTCTAGATTATAACGAACTTTTGAACTTCCTACCCGGTCCTCTACGGCGAAGTTAGATCTTAGTAAAGTAGTTGTCCGGCATGTTTATTCTAATTGTTCAATAATAAAGTGCCTCTTTATAACGAAATACTGGACCAACAACGTCAACACCTGGTGTGACAAAACATTATACGTCCAACAGGAAGACCAGAGTCTTGCATTATATCTTCCACTACATTAATCTTTTATCCAAATGGTAATGGAGGCCTGTGTCAGTTGACAGTAATGAATTGTTTCTTTATGACATGCACTCGAAGTTTCATACGATATATCGAACAGTAAATAGGACGAAAACCTTAAATTAATTATGTTGTCTTCTCTAAGCGTAGGGTAAAGTGCTTGCTGCCTCCATCATCAGGGCGATGAGGTAGCAAGTACCTCTGAAACGTCGGTAACCTTCTGCCAGATTACACGGCGCTACAACCCAGAAGGCAGCCATTTTCAACTCTCTCCTTATCTTGTGAAGGCCTCATCCCCTATCCAAATCCCTTACTGCTTGTTCTATAACAGAAGAGGCCGCGGTTTTAATTATCCTGAAGAGCTGGATCAGTATTGCTTCTCCGTTACATAGCTGTTTGCCTGAAGAAACTACTAACATAATTATACATATTTTGTTTTAATAATCCATCATTTGCAGAAAGATAAGTGTTTGAATGTGAACTTTGGTACTGAGTGATTATCACTCTTGATTCTTATTCAGGAGATTCTGAGTTAAAATCCCGGCTTGGAAACTGAGGAGCGTAGCATCATGTTTATTGTTTTCTTCAGTCCCCCCCAGGCAAAACGTGATGATGTATTTTTGGTCTGTTAAGTTAGTAACTGAAACAATGGATAGCCAAGTAATACCCTGAAAGGCGAACTGTGTATTGCACATGTGACCTTCCGGTTGAGTAATTGAAGGTGATGATAATTAATTCTTGTTTTCCCTTTCCTGATACGTTGGTTAGTACGCAGCAAGCAATCTTATGCTCTCTCAACTTCTTTTATATTTAAGTTACGTGTGATTGGAATGTTTCTGTGTGCAATTGCCTTTAGAACTCGATTCTTCGTTATCTGACATACTCGTACATGACGTTCTGGTGACGAATTTATTAATGGAGAACTATTTGTCAATTTTTCTATGACGAAGTGCGATATTTAGTGTTTAAAAAGTACAAATAAACGTAAGCACCTTTTGCGTAACACTTTAAAGTATATATCATTTCAGTGACACACACAACAAACGTCAATTTTTATTGTAAGATGACGATAACTGCTGTTATTCCATTAAAATTTATAATAGTGAAGATATTAAAACTCCTCAGTGTGGATGAGAAATATTCTGCCTACTATTCTTTAAATTGATTTCATAAAATAATTTTATTGTGTTGGTAACATTATATATCCTTCTGCGCGGACATCAAATATCTGCTATCACTTCGTTTAATCGTCGAACCTTTTCAAAGTTTTGGTTTCCTGACCTTTTACATCTTCCTTATATCAGTCTTCGGTCATTTTTTTATCGTTCTAACAATTTATTTTGATATCCTTCCCTTTATCTAATTATAGGGCCTGCCTCCCAGCTTATCACTAATATATTTGATGCGTTTAATATGGTCATTCTGTATTTTCCGCTGGCTCTGATGAAACTCATGTTTATTACGTAGTTTTGTAGAAATGTTATTTTCATTCTTTGTATGTCCTTGTACTTGTGGTCCCAGTGGTGTGAATTTGCTTTCATTTCTATATGTTGCTTGGAATTGTCGTATTCCCTTATAA